CACTTCACTGCTCGACCTTTGATAGAGAAAGACTTAGAGATCATGTACCCTGCACACAGGGAGCTTGTCTCCAACCTAATCTGTTCTGAGGCTGAGAATGATACCATCCAGAGCTTAGAGAAGTTCAATACAGACATGTTTTCTCAGCAGAGGATGTGTTACGGCAAGATCGCAAGTTAGCAAAGTTGTTTAATCACGGATTGATAGGAACAATAGTTTCCCAGGAGACCAGACTAGCATGCATTTAGCACTCAGACGTGCAACCTCCCAAACGTCATTCTTTGTCATTCTGTTTGCTTATGGCCCTACTGTGTCTTAAATCTACACAGATCACTCACACCTACACACATAGAAACACATATGGAAACACACACATTCCCCTCTATCACCCTCTAACCCCCAAGCTCCAAACATACAACTCTTTTCTTCCTCATTGTTCAAAGTTATGGCAATGAGAGATTAAATTCACACAGAAATCCCACCCAGCCCACTTCTCCCTCCTTCCCAAGGATTCAGTATTTCAACACGGGCTGGGTGTATATATGAGCGAGCGCCACACCCTGCAGCTGTGCACCTGGAACTGCTCCCATTCCAGCATGGCAGTGAACCCACACACCTGTTCACACCTGAGGCCTGTGCCTCTGGACTGCCACCTCCAGTTCCTTTGTTTCATCCATCAGCTCTGACACTGACAAAACCAACACAAGCTCAGAGAGCAGGCAGTAAAAACAAAACAGAAAGAAAAAGTTCTAGGACTATCCATGTTTCATAAGAATCATGTCAGGTATGTTGTTGCTGAATATTGTACGAAGCTAAGGATGTCTGGTTTGATTCGACGATGGGACTGTTTTTCACATCTCGCCCAGCCAGTCCAGCCAGCACCTGTGAATACCTTTCACAGAGAAAACATCGCACAGTGTTGTGTGATATGTTGCAGCTGCGTGTTCCTGATCACATCAGAGATTTGTATTTATGCCTGTGTGCTGTTGGCTATTTTAATAAAGGGGCTTTGAAGAAAAGACATGAGGACAGGTCCGCTGAGAGGGAGCTGAAGTCAAAGCCCTTGGTGCTATATCGGCTTCAAAGAAGAAAACCACATTTGAACATTTTCCAGCATCATATTTTCTCTAGTTGTGCGAGCGCTGATTGCTGTCCCTGAAATCATATTTTATTGGCTCTAAAATAGACTATGAAGTAATTATTAGATAAATAAAATTCTAATATGTGTATCCATAATGTCACTTGGACTGGCAGCAGCATTTTTATTTCCAAACTTCAACAATCAGATTAATACATTTTCACATAAACCCCTGAATAGCGTAGCTTTATTCTTAATCTTGGGAATTTACATCTGTGGCAACACCTTCACTTATTTAGCTTTTCTTTGAGGTTTTGATGATATTTCAGGAGGTTCCTCAGGTGTTATCACATGGTCAGAAGCTTAGAAACAAAATATTTTACTATTTTACTTATATTTTACTTTTGTGACTAAATGAACAATAGTCATCCTCAAAGTTGGAAATGAACACAAAAGATTCCTGGTCATACCTCAATAATAGTTGAACAAATAAAAACATATTTGCTTATTTGCTGTACCATGACCGAGGAGGTGTGGTTTGATTATGTTTGATTGACCGTGGTATCTCCCTGCCAACATAAACAAACAATCCAACAGCTGTCATCACATTATGATTACGTCATTACATTGTTCAACACCTGACTTTTTCCAACACAGACTCTTCAAATCAGAGAGTGTACTACTCCGAAAAACAACAATTCCTCATTGACTGTTTGCAAGCAATAAAAAAATGTGTGAATGAATCTACTAAAGTGATCTTTTTCACAATAATCACAAAAGTTAAAAAAATAAGGGTAATTTTATTTGTGTTTGCTGTGAACCCTTTGACCACCTGTCGGTGCCTCACACTGTGTCACTCTGCAAAAACAGCACAAACAGTCTTTACTAACGACTTCACTACTCCAAACAAATCTGGGAGGTCTGAGCGTGCGCATTTGCTCCAAAGCTCTCCCTCATGCATGCTGACAGGTATTGTATCAGACCATCTGTTGTGCTCTCTCACTGGTGTTTTACCTCAACAAACTGGATGGATATAACACGGGGGATCATTTGCATCTATGAAGGATGACCAGCAGCATACACAAACACCACAGAGAAAACAGTGGATTAGAGGAACAATACAGCAATACATACTACTGATGCCATCAACCTGTAACGTTCAGCTATTTGTTTCTTTCAGCTAGAATGACTTTCAACAAATCCCAGTAAAGGAAGATACATTTTTTAGTTAGATGAATCTCTAACTAAAGTCCCTAAATAACATTTGCACTAAAAAATATTGGCTGTTGCTGTGAGAAACAGCACCCCTGTTAGTCTTTTCCCCCCACAGTCAATGTTATATCTCACAACATTCATCCTCTACCGCTTAATCCCTGAACAGGGTCACAGAGCCAATCCCGGCCGGCAATCGGGCGAAGGCAGGGTACACCCTGGACAGGTCGCCAATCCATCGCAGGGCTAACACATAGACGAACAACCACACAAACACACATGCACTCCTATGGGCAATTTAGAGACACCAATCAACCTAAGCTGCATGTCTTTGGACTGCGGGAGGAAGCCGGAGTACCCGGAGAGAACCCACGCAAGCACGGGGAGAACATGCAAACTCCACACAGAAAGGTCCCAGGTGGGGCCCGAACCCGGAGCCTTCTTGCTGTGAGGCAATGGTGCTAAACACTGCGCCACCGTGCTGCTATCTCACAACAGTGTATTCGTTTTCATGAAGTTAGCGGAGGGTGTGTTTGGTTCAGGTGAGCCAGGCCACCTTTGTTTATTATGGGAAGCTTTGAATTTTATAGAGTTACATCTAATCTAAAGTGTTACTGATCTTCCTCTATTAAACTCTGTTATAGTTACTTATAATACTTCTTGACATAACTTTAAATTGACTTTGTTTGTTGTTCATCATGTGAAAAGGTTAAAAAAAAAGGTCCTAAGAACTGAAGGTACACCATCGATATCTGTTTTTAGTTATTCTTTCATTTTAAAGGACATACTGGTTTGATTATCATCTTGATCCAAGTCGAAAGAATTTTAAGTTTAGAGAATAAAGCACTGTGTCTGAGAAAACAATGATGGCAACGGCACTGGAATGTCTTAACAATGAGTGTTGTTGTCAGTTGGAATGTCAGCCATGCATCTCTGCTGGGAACGGATGTATCCTTCCAGTTTGGCATGAGTTCCATAGAGGTACCTCCAAAAGGAGGCCACCTTTTTTCTCTTCAGCCTCTAAGGATAATAAAATTTCCCTCTCCTGACAATTTCTATCCAACCAGTGCTTGGTGCGAGCCAGGGCTGTCACTGGTGGGAGTCCAATTAGAGGTCTGAGACCGCCCAAAGGGCTTATTTTCTGCTCTGTGTTTTGAGAAGTCAGTTGCCAAGCACTGCCATGTGCACTGAAATCATTACCAACCTTCTGGCACGTCACTCTCAGACTCTAAATTCTTTAATTCTCTGCAGTTGTCTGCAAATTGATTAGTTGGTCATCCATAACTAACACAGGCTTTTCTATCTGAACAAGCATCCAGTGTGCTCACAGCTAGCCCTCTTTTACTATTCATCTTGCTGTTACATAAAAACTTGAGCTCTTCTGATCTAACTGGAGATACATTATTTCTATTAAGCCATCATGAGGTGGAAGAGGTAGCGAATTTGTTTACTTAAGTTAGAGTAGCAATACCACAGTGTACAAATAATCTATTCGAAGTAAAAGTCCTGGATTCTAAATGTTACTTAAGCAAAAGTACAAAGGTATTAGCATCAAAATATACTTAAAGTACCAAAGGTAAAAGTAGTAATTACATAGGATGGCACATTGTGCATTTGATCTATATCATATTATTTGATTATAATTAAGAAAGTCACTTTCAGCTTTTCCCGTTTTAGGGGTCGCCACAGCGAACCTCAAAACTGTACTTAAGTACAGTACTTGAGTAAATGTACTTTCCACTTCTGGTTACCTCTAAATCAGTCTTTGAAAACCTTTATCTGTTTTACCTTCATTTTCTTGAATTGAACACAAAAAGTTGTCCAGATGCATTTACAACTTGAAATATTTCAACTGTCACGTAATGTAGTCAATTTTGAAACAGGAAAGCTAATAATGATAATTAGAATGGTGGCAATGGAAACAACAGATAAACAATGTCAGTGAGTGTAGTCAAATACAAATAGTTGCATCAGTAAGTCGGTGACTAGCAGTGAGCAGAAAACAGCTGCACTGCTCAAAATAGACCAAAACCACTTGTGGTCTCCTGCAACAAGTGTTCATAGCGCAGGACCACCCACATAGTCACACATTCTGACAAAATCACACTGGTTTTTATTGCTCCAGCAGAAAATATTACCTACCTGAAGCTTGTGTGGTTTCAGATGGTAAAAGATACATATATGAGTCTCTGCAACCTGCCATTGCTTACTGATTTGAAGACTTTAGTTTCTGAGGGCGGTATTTATGAACAGCATAGTCAGTGCTAAACTGCAAATGTTGTATTTCACAGCAACATCACAGCTACTTGTAACATTAAGTTGTCTTTGTGATAGAACCAGACATGCCTGGAGCACTGCTGGGCACCAAGAGAAGCAAATCATTTTCCTGGATTTTTTAATTGCTATTTCATATAAAAGTGATCATAAAAAAATAGTTCCCATCCCGGTTCAAAGAGAAAGAAGGCTGGTCATAAATTTGTTTTCCTGGTGGCAGAAATCAAGTTAAAGTCTTGCCAAACCCAATGATTCCACTCTGAAATACCATTTACCATCTACTGAAAACAGCAATATGCATAAAAGGATTTGTTTTTAATAGGAACTTTAGTTACATCAGTGTTATTTCCTGTAGGCTTACTTGCTTATGTGTGGCAGGTGGATTATGAAATGTGTTATAGACTTAACCTGTGGAACTGATTGAAGTCTCACTCACCTGTGAGGGGTACACTGGGGTGAAAATGAGTATGCTCCTGTCTGTCTGTAAGATTACCATCTGTGCTATTAATCAGGTCTGACTCCACCTCATGGACTTCCTGGTGGAGTTTGGACTGCCACAGCCTGAAACATGTAGAGGATAGGTGTTATTAAATAGAGTGTGATCAATCGACAACATTAAAAGGGTCTGTAGTTAAAAATGCTCATTAACCAATACATAGAATGCTTATATCAATTACAGTTTGTGTTAAAATCCCACCTCTTTGGTCACTGCTCATAATTTTATTGTCTTATGCAGCTGCACAGTGTTGGTGCAGGACACTCATGATGTCATGAAGACACTGGTGATAATGGTGGTGAAGATGGTGATAGATAGTCCCCCTTTGTAACATTTATAAGAAGCACATAAACATTTAATGTATAACACACTGCCATTGTAGTTAGTAGCTATATAAGATATTTAAGTGTTTATTAATATACAGCATATACTTAAAGGATGAGGCCAGTCATTTTCTATATTAATGGTATTTTCAATACTCGCCATACAGAGACTACAACCAACAACAAATTACCTCTACTCATGGATAATGTCTGTCAGCTGTCAGTCCTGGATTAGTTCATCATTAGCAAACCCCGGGCCCAGCAGTGAGGAGCTAGCTTAATGTAAACAAAGCAGAGAGCTTGTGCAAGATCTTGCACACATGTGCAGTTGACTCTGACTTGTACTAATGTCAGAAAATTATGGCCGCTCTGAGCCTTTTGGGGAACATCGTCAGGTCTGGGGTTTAGAGCTGTAATTTGGCCTGAAAAGTTAGGCCCGACAGGGCCCGAGCCCGACAAGTACATTTTTGATTGACAGCCCGAACCCGTTTACAGCCCGACATTATTCAAATGTGCGCACGGCGCACGCACACAGCATCACTCAACATGCCTTCTCAGCGAGGAATTCCGTGTCGTTTTGCTGTCGTATTTTAAGAAAACGTTACATTTCTTGCATTTTACATAACCCACTGGGTCATTGTTCTCGTTATGCACATGTTCAAAATGTTGCCACACCTCAGACTTAGCTGCTGCTGGTGTAACCAAAAAATATACGCCAGATGCAAACCTTTGTTTCACCTCATCCATCTTCGTTCTTCGCAATGCAGCTTTCTCGCGCTAATTGAAACGCATCACGTGACCACTCATCTAACGCCCGAGCCCGGCCTGAGTAAAAATGATAGAAATTAAGCCCGATGGGTACCCGACGGTCGGGTCGGGTTCGGGCTAAGAATTACAGCTCTACTGGGGTTTCCTAATGAAAAAACATGTCACCCAGTGCAACGGTGTGTTTTTGAAAAACACCAGTCTATCACACAGTCAAATAAGACTGTCCAGATATTAACCGTGAGCAGAGGCATTTCTTTGTCGGTGTTGTATGGAGATTTCTGAAAATACTATTAATCAAATTAAGTCTAATTTAAGTCTAACAGATTTTCCTTCTAACCAATAATTAGTATAAAGATGTGTAAATTATTGTAGAACTGCACTATAAAAACACATAAATATGTGTAATAATAGCATTTAACAGATTAACAATGTGGAGGTCCTCTAAGTGCAAATGTACCATATGGCCTTAGCAACAAAACCACATAGTCTGAGAGGAGGGGGATGGAAGAAAAGCCCTGACCTTTGGCCATCTACAAAGCATTCCCCAAACTATGGACCCATTGAACTGAAGTTCTTCAGAGGTTTTATATAAAGAGCATCTCTAATGTGAGCACCATTCACAGCTGACCCTAAACACTAATATCACCCAGGAAACTAACGCTCGGTGCAGCTGCCAATGAGATGTCGTTTCTCTCAACTGCACTATGAGCCTGGTGCATTCACTCCTTGTTGTTTAGGTGCTTTGTTCATATGTAAAACATGTGCTCTGTATTTTCTCTCTTTGTCTCACACATAAACACACACACTTGAAACCCAAATGTCATGTGTCCATCAGCACAGTTTGTAAAACCAGTTGGCATTCTTGGCTTCACTCCGCTGAGGATATCTGTCTCCGACGCAACATCTGTTTAACAGTCCTGTCAGTTGGAACGGTGGCTAATCTCTAATTCCTCCAAATGTGGCACGAGTCATGCATAATGCTAGCTTCATGTTGGGGAATATAAGAAAATAAATGCACATCCAAGCAGCTCTGCCAGGATATAGATTAATCGCCCCTGGGTCTTACTTATGCATTTGCTTGATACTCTCTGAATTTTTCAGTATCAGCGTAGCAGTCTAGCAGTCCAAAATATAAACAGTGACACTCATATTTAATTCAGTTACATCAGATGTCGCAGAAATGCAGCTAGAAATGCTCAACACATTTAAAACTCTTATCTGCTCATTGTGTTTGCTTAGCCTATACATGTCGCCTAACTAGTTGGATTTAGTTGGTGTTTATATGATGCTTATCAGGTGTGACGGCTCTTTGCCACCACGATCTTCATGCTTCACAATGTTTTCAGTGTAATCTACTTCGCCAATCTACCCAACAAAGAGGATGAAAGGGAAAATATCAGCAAAATAAATGAGAACACAGATGATGTGTCATCCATGCCTCTCATGAATGGATTGATTAAGATATAGCAACAGCACTTTCGCACTTTAAGGACTGTTATTCCTTTGCTCCACTGGGAAGGCAGAGGAGGGCTTGGTGTAAACAACTTGAGAGGGCCTCCACTCTCTTTCTGTGCAGGTAAGTAGCAGCAGCAGTGCTCGCTCCATGATGCAGCTCTGCATCGAGCGCCCCCCACATGCAGCTATCTTTTCACGGGGGTTGGAGGGTCACTATTTTCCCACCAGGGAGGCGCTTTTTTTTAGCTCATACACGATGGATGCATTATGGCCTCTGAATGAGAATCGTAGCTTTCAATGTGCATTCCATTGGGTTTCTCTTCTTGCAGAGAGTCAGTGAATAAAAATCAGCATCTCTATTGTTGTACCCGGTACTTTTTACCATACTGACTCTGAGAGACGAGACAGTCCAAGTAACTACAAAACAGTGCTGATTTATTCCATGAACACAGACAAAAATTAACATTACACGCTCAGGTATCTTGCACTCCCAAAGAGCAGCTGGTCATAGCAGTAGTCAAAACATGAAGCAAATCAATGTGTGTGTGTCTATTGATTAAGTGGTGTGTAACTAAAAACATTCTCGCGACCTCTAGTACATGTCATGATATTAAACATAAGAACATATTATGGCTAAGGCTACAGTTATACACGTCATAATAATAATATTAAACACCCTGTCTGCTGACAGTCATCAACTCTTCTCTCTAGTCTCCTTGACCAGATGTACCCTGTAGAAACTCATAAGTATGACTAAGCATTTAACAGTCTAACTAGACATCCTATCTCCACTAAACATTTCTAATACATAAAGTATCTATCCAATTTCTATCTGACTAAAAATACCTAACACTATAAAACGCTCTTTTTGGCACAGAGTCCCCACTCCCAGCTCTCGCCTCCTAACTCCAACTACCCCCAGCACTCCCTTCCCCCATTGCTATTCTGTGAAGTTAAGAATCCATAGGAGGTTTATTTGAGATGCAAGCACAAGTGTGAGAACACTGGGCTTGGGGTAAAAGAAAATCCTTTCCTTTGGCCTGAATAGGGGCATTTCAAAAACCGGACATTTTTTCAGGAACTCCTTCAGCAACAGGCTTCGTCCTCTGTCAGCTGAACAAAACATTGCTGCCATTCAAGAAAAACAAAGCTTCGTTATTGGCTAATTTGATTGAGTGTTACTGTCGTATAAAAATTTGCCTCATTAGAAGTTCCCCCTTCCCCCGTTGTTTCTGTACTGTCATATTAAGATAATAATTGTAACAACCTTCTATTAAACATGTTAGATGCCTGACAGTGTTGGAGGGCACAGATCAGAAGCTTTATCCACAGCTGAGGCTCTGCTTAGCTACTGGTGCTCAGAAATGAAAAGAAAAGTCAGTCACACAGAGATACCCAGCCGCTTCATTCAACTCTGCTCCCACTTACACTTTTGACAAAACATCAAAGTCGGTCACTGTCAGAGTTAAATCATCAAAAAAGGGGCACAGCAGAGAATAAAATGCAGAAGTCCCTTTAAACTCTATGTCAAACTGGCTTTCATGAAGACCGGTTCAAGTGTCACGGACATGAATAATGCATTGCCTCCAGGGGTTATTGGGTTAATTTGTTGCTTTAATTTTAAGACCTAATCATTTATAGGATGTGTGTTGTATAGAACATATTTTATCACATGAAAATCCCGTACAACCTTATTTACTGTGCATGCATACTTTCTGCTAGTGGAGTCTATATATTTCTCTCTCTCTCTTAAAAAGAAAAGCACACTCCACCTCATCAGAAAGAAAACAAGTATATTCTGCAGACATCGTATTTTCAGTGGGGAATTAGCACTATAAAATGGATAAAGGATGATAGATGATAGTTTTTCAGGCACTGCTAGTGTAGCTTGATGAAGTCATTCCAGTAACACTGTTGTTAAAAAACACCCATACTAGCTGACAGTACGAGAGTGGCTCAGAATACAAACTGTAACTTGTCTTGGTTGTTGCCAGATCCTTTGGCCTTTTTCCTCCTGGTGCCTTTTGCTCCTTTTCATTCTGCACCCAAATTTAAAGACTTGTAATGATGCTGTTCAGCCTTTTTCAGTGGCAAGGAGGCTTTCACTAAGACTGTAATAACCCACAGACTTTACATATTGATGTTGCTAATTCTGAGAGTGACTAATGCAGCTATTTTAATACACCACAAAATAGTTTCATTGTCTTTAATTTAAGAAATATTTTGACAAATGAACTTCACAAACCTTTATTGTGCTCCCTGCCCCAAAAGTAGATGATTCTGAAGCTGATCTACCAAAAGACGTGCTTGTGTTTACATTCAAATGAGCCTCTAATGCCTGGATAGACTGGATCAATGTGTTGTATCTGATGTCATCTCACTGTGCTGAATATTATGACTTTCTGGGAAGAAGAGTCTCCAGAGACAAATTTGACTTAAACCCAATTGTGGAGGGGCCTTCACACATTTGTGTTTCATTTAGTCTGCTGTGGCTGATTTGTATCTGTTCAAATGGAGCTTCAGCACTTTGGAGCAAGGTCATGTAAACTCTGAAAGGAAAGTGCAGGAAATCACTGTGTTCTTTCTCTGACCAAAAATTAAGGAAATCTACTACTATTTTATCAATTAATCCTCTATAAAATGTCAGAAAATAGCACAAAATAAAGCCCAGTATGTTAATAGTCCAAAATCCAAAGTTTACTTTCATGTATGATGCAGAAAAGCTTCGAAACATCCTCGTTTGACAAGGAGCCAGAAAATATTTGAAATTGTTATCTTAAAAAATGACAAAAACAGTGATTCATTTAAAATGGTTGCTGGTTAATTTAAGCTGATTAATTGGTTAATTGACTAATTGTTGCAGCTGTAATATTATATATGGCAAAGAACATCATCAGATCTGCACATTTGAGATACTGGATGTTTGGCATTTTAGTTTAACAAATGACTTAAACAATGAACAAATTGTGATTTTGTTTCAGCTCTAAAAACATCTCACACTGCTGCACTGCTGTTCACTGAGAACACATTGTAGGGTGTAACCCCCAAACACAGTACATCTAATATTCCACAATATTTCTTTACACTTTACATTCTCACTGTTATCGGCTTGTTGAAAAAACACTCAACTATTGGAATAAACGGCTTTTGGGGAGGTCTGTTATTTTAATCAGCAGTGACTGTGAGCGTGACAGCTGTGATGGCAGTAGGCGAGCCAATCACAGGTGCTGTGAGGGGCACAGGGTGCAATGTGAAGGAGTGTTTGACAAAGAGGCCATGTGCAGAAATAAGATGACAGGTGGTTGCCCTGATCCAACTCCAGCCTGCCAAAATGAGTTTGCCTCTGGGTGCTCCAGAGAAACATGACAGTGTTAATGAAAATGGCAGCGTTTAAATGTATTTTGTTCTACAACAGCACATCCCAAGGTTAGGACAGTAAAAAAGATACCTCACATGGAAATTCATGAATGGTATGAATGGAAGGTATTTTTACCAAGTGACTGTGTGGGCTCATTTAACTTATCAAAGCAAATATTTGGAGCTTTTCTTCACACGGCTTTTTGTCTCCAACATTTAAGTCTCCCACTGACTCCTAACTGAGCCTCTTAAGATCTTAATACAGTTTTCTGAATATGTCAAATCATGTTAGCTGTACGGTGAAAATGGTAA